TTTCAGCTCAACTGGTTAAGGTTAATTGGTTCACAATTCAGTTTCAAGATTAGTCCCTCACTAATAGTTACTTGGACAAGGCTTGTAAAAAGTGCCACTGTTAATGCAATTTATATTGAAATCCCAGCTCAAATTAAGCCAACAGAAAATAAAGACGGTTCAGGGTAAATTCGTATTCTCTGTCTCTGAATTGCTAAACTAAACTGGTGGAGAGTGGCTTTGCAACATGGAAAATTTTACCCAAATGTAAATCTCGATATTTTCGGAACGAAAAGAGATATCGAGTTGCGGAATTCGGGAGGTTCTTAACCAACTCTTGGTGAACACGTACAGGATTCGGTTGGTAAATTTCTTTTATTTATCAACTTATACAGGGTCATGTTTTTAGCAAAGTTTGGAACAATGACAGATCCTCCTAGATTGTCATACTCCTTTCTCTCCTTCAATAATTTCTAGATTGCACCTGTTCTTTAACAGCGTCAGCGCTCTCCTATTGTGAAGATATGTGTTCTTTTTAAATTGTAGGAAATTTCAAACATGATATAAATCAAAACCTTGCACAATTTGATGCAAATAGATATTTGTGACATAACCTCAAAATAGAGCGCTGGCAGGGAAAAGTAGTGAACTAGGACAATCAAGGAGGCCATAAAGGCGTCCTACAATTGTATGAACAACTGACGATACGGGGCTAAGTAACACAAATATTGACTGTAGACCTGATAGTATAATTTTATTTTCTCAAAAATGCCTCGTCTTTTTCACAAAGAACGAGAGGATTGTATAAAATTATTGGGAGAAGGTCGTTTAGTGAATAATGTAGCTTTAATTTATAATGTTGAACGATCCGCAATATACCGTTTAAGTCGTAGATATCAGGATACCAGGGAAATGTCCTACTTGCATAGAGGAGATAATCCAAAAGAAAGTACGAGATCGGGCCGAAAGACATTTATTGCAGGAAGTAAGGTGAAGGAGGATCCTTTCATCCAGAACCTTGAATGAAATCCAATCGTACTGTAAGAACTCCAAATTCTAATTTGTTAAGGTATGTAAATGTTATAAAAAAATAGATAGGTACTTTTTTAAAGTAGCATTTCTTCCAGAGCAAGGTGCCGCGCAAAGTGTATCTGACTCTTGAACAATCATTGAGTTGCCAGGTACCAATGGACACATGAGCGAGTAATTTTAGTTAATAACCTTCTGGAAAGTATGCCACGGACTGTGATCGAGGTGTGTGTGGCCATACAAGGTACTAACAATATTGTTTAAAGAACTGTTGCTGTTTTGTAAACAGTTCGTTTTTGACATAAATAAATAATGTAGGTATTTAACTGGTCTTCAAATGTTTGTTTTCTAAAATGTTGCATATTGTTAATGTTATCCAATAAATTCTTTGATGTCAAAAAATTTAATAGTGTCTATTACCTATTGGAAAACTTCTCCAATGAAGACGCGTGCGCCAATGCTGAATGTTAAAAAGAATAAATTCCAGATAAAAGATGAATAGCAGTGTTGGCCAGCATCATAGCATTTTGGAAAATAAATTTTTTCAAGTTATTCGCACTTCTTACCAAACCAAAAAATGCTTTTGGTGTTACGCCACTGGAATACACCCCTATATTACGAGTAGTAACTTGGATTTGTTAATTAAGCTGTTTAATAGCATAGTAACATTTATAAATTCGGTTTAAATTACATGTCAAGGTAGCAAATTTTTACTGCACGCTACTGGAGGTAATGACGCTCAATGAGTGCTTCAATCTTTTCTCGGGCACAAGAAATTCCACTTTATGCAACAGTGTGAGAAAAAATACCCATTCTCAAGAGAAACCCCCAAAAAGTCCCTTTTTTAGGGATAAATGTAACTTTTTTTTAAAATTCGATAATTTGAGTTATGAAATTCGAAAAGTTGCTTTTTTAGGGTAGTTCAAAGATCAAAATATGCGTAGAAAAATTTCCAAGTTCAAAAATTGAGAATCTGACATTGCTCCAAACTTTGCTGAAAAAACTACTTTGCTCGCCCTGTATAAGTGGATAATATACCGGTGGCACCCTGTACGAATTCTCAAAGAGTTCATCAAGAACCTCCCGAATACCTCAACTCGATATCTCTTTCCGTTCAGAAAATATCGAGATTTGAATTTGGGTAATTTTCCATGTTGCGGAGCAACTTTTTACCATTTTATTTTAGTAACATTTTATTAGTTACCTAAATGCGCAACTTTGCTTTAATAAATGGTGAATCGTGTTGCTTACCGTTTCAGAATCTTAAATCTCTAATGCACATATAATAAGTACCACGACAAACTTAAGGAGAAGGTAGGCTTTGGATTGACGTCCCACATAACAAAAACTTATATATAAAAGTGTCACCGTTTTTGAGATATTGAATTTTTTCTTAAATTTAAAAAAAATCGAACCTTTTCATCTGTGGTCTTTAGCTGCATGGACAAATAAGGTTATACTTTGTTCATTTTTCTATAAAATACTTCTAGATAGTTGCTTTATCATATACAATTGCAATTTAGTTAAAAGGTATTAAGGAACCAACTTTGACCATATGTGGTGAAAAAAAAAATGTACGGGGCTATAACTGCATTATATTGAATAAAAAGATTGCTTATTGAATACAGATTTCAGAAGGCACCACACGTACCATTTGGAATAGAAAAAAGTGATAGCTGCTTTTTTAAGTGACTGACACACACTACAATGTAATTATTGGATTTAAATTCAAGTTGCACTGGTCACGGATCAGTGACATGTTAAATAGTATGTACAAAGCTACATTATTATTACCTGCTCCTGTTATGATTTTATGAAACTTACTGAAATTCGGACTCGAGTCAGTAACAATATAAAAGAATTATTTTTTACCATGGTTCCTTAATATCTTTTAACTACATTCCATTTGTATATGGTAAAGCAACTAACTAGAAGTATTTTATAGAAAAAATGAACAAAGTATAACCTTATTTGTACATGCAGCTAAAGACCTCAGATGAAAAGGTTCTTGTTTTTTGAGCAAAGCTCAATTAAAATTCAACGCATATTTCAACTAAACCTAGTAATTTCTTATGTATATATATTGGATGAGCTTGAAGAGGACCCTGTACATGAACACCTTAGTCATAGTTTTTTTTAATTTTTCATAAAAAAAAAACATCATTTAATTCCGTGGGGCTTGAGATAACGAGGACAGCTGCTTCGAAAACGTTCATAAACTACAATATGTACTGAGAGAGCGAAAATAGTGAGAAAAGTGAATGGTTTCAATGAAAAGTGAATATGAGTGAGTCGGATCGAAAAAAGTGATAACAAGAGAAAAAAGTGAGTCGTCAGCATCCCTGCATGATGAATAAGTTCAGCTTAATAAAACTTCATATTTGAACATAATTTTGATGGAACCACGGTGGCTTACTGTCGGTCAAATGACAAAAGTTTTAATGACATTTCCGCTACCTCTGTGGCAATGACTATAATCAAATCCAAGCGAATAATCAAAATTTCTGTGTTATGTACCGCGGTTATAATATGGTTTAAGATGGCACACGGGTTGATGACGACAGTTACTCGAATCGCTTGAACGCGTTGGTTTTAACCGCGGTTTTGTTGCAAGTTGTTTATTTTAGAAAAGCGCGTATATAATTTCCGATTATTGTTATTATCACTTAATAATCGGTGCTTTTTCGTCTACAACAGTGTATGGAAAGTTTAAAAAAGAAACCTTCCATAATATTAATGGGAGAAATGTTTTTTTTTCAGAAAATATTTTAATGACGGAACCATGGCTTTGTACCTATGATAACTTTCAATTCTCTAAACTTTTCCGCATGTCAAAGAAAACATTTATTGATTTAGCAGAAATGATAGGAAAAGGTGATGAAAAAAGATATTAGCAAAACCGTATACAGGTGGATATTATCCAGTCAGTGTATATAGCCATATTTTAATATTCTTTTGGTATATGGCTACACATGATACTTTCTTAAGCATAGGAACTAGATTTAAAGTGTACCCAACAATAGTAATGAGTATAACTAATAAGGTGCTCTACTTTATGCTACAACTGAAGTAAGCGTGTATCAAGTTTCCCAAAAATGAAGCCGAAGTACTACAAAAATATTCAATACACGGCAAACTTCTAACTTGTCACATTTCAAATAATAACCAGAAATATAAAACTACTCCTGAGTTGGGTAAATACCACAATTTTGCGGTGATAACTATGACATATAACAGCTGATTCGTGACGTCACGGATCTTATAACCAAACTGATAACTACACTCGCTTTTCGTCTACAAATGTATATGGAAAGTTTAAATAAGAAACCTTTCATAATATTCATGGTAGAAATGTTTTTTTCAGTTTTTTTTTAATGATGGAACCATGGCTTTGTAGCTATGATAACTTTCAATTCTCTCAATTTTTCCGCATGTGAAAGAAAACATTTATTGATTCAGCAGAAATGATGAAAAAAGAAATTAGCAAAACCGTATACAGGTGGATATCATCTAGTGAGTTTATATGGCCATATTTTAATATTCTTGTGGAATATGGCTACACAGGATACTTTGTTAAGCAAAGTGTCCCCAACAACCGTAATGAGTATAACTAATAAGGTGCTCCACTTTATGGTAAAACTGAAGTCAGCCTGTATCATTTTTCTCAAAAATGAAGCTGAAGTACAATAACAATATCCAATACCCGGCAAAATTCTAACTTGTCACATTTCAAATAATAACTAGAAATATAAAACTACTCTTGAGTTGGGTAAATACCACAATTTTGCGGTGATAACTATGACATATAACAGCTGATTCACGACGTCACGGATGTTATAACCAAACTGATAACCACACTCGCTTGAACGGATCGGTAAATACCAATCCAAAATGGTAAATACCATTCAAATTTGGTTATTCGCTTGGATTTGATTAATATGTTTATTTGTTTATGTAGGTAATATACGGTGTGTCTTCCGAAAACCACTCACCTAGTCCCATATGACCCTCTGGATTCCCTACATCAGCTAGCTCTTGAAACATTTGCTTGGCAAAGTGAATATCTTGCTTGAGAGGATTTCCAAATAATTTGGCCCACGCTACCATCGCCGTGGCATCAAGATTCTTTATTTGAGGCTTCAATCAACAGCTGGTAGGCCTGCGATAAAGTTTATCAAATATACCGGGTGTTTCAAATTCTCGGAAACTGTAAGAGATACGAAGTCTCTTAAATTTGGCAAAGTTGCATATGTAGGTAATCAACAAAATACCGCTTAAAAAGTTTCTAAATTCAACGTACTTCTGGAGAGTGAAGGAAAAAAATTAATTTTGTCCTGACTTATTTGTGGTTGGGATTTCAAAATAAAATGCACATTAACATTACACACACTTTTTCTCCTCTACAAGAAGGCAAAAATTATATATATATATATATATATATATATATGGCAATGACTACTACTGCTCACGTATATATATATATATATATATATAATATATATATTTTGAGACGTGGTCATTGCCGTCTAGACCAGTTAGGTGAAAAATTAAAGCTTCCGCCTTTTGTTGGGTACTTCGACAAAATTTAAGACAGACATTGACAACCTTCGGCCTTCTGTCAAAGGTTCATCTCACTCATTATTCCATGACCACCATTTTGTGCAATCATCAAGTGGCTTCACGACGTAATGCTCTAATGTTTTCTAAATAATTTTTAATCTGTCTTTAACTTGTCTTGTCATATTTTATATAATTTTAACCATTGTACCATGTATCCAGCTCTCACCATGTTACTGGACGTTTCCCTCATCCTATACGAAAACAACAATTAGCAACATCCTCACATACTACTGTAAGTTGATTCAATTTAAATTCATTTTACACTTTTGTTGCTACTATTATCATTGTAATTGCAGCTCCTGATGATGATGGCAAAGTCCATGAAAGCTAGAGAGAATTAAAAAAAGTATAAAGAGTCCTCTTGCTTAAATTTGTCGAAGTACCCAACAAAAGGGGAGCTTTAATTTTTCACCTATATATATATATACACAGGGTGACTTTGAAGTTGAGTCATTAATTTTCAGATAATGATTGTAGAAGGAAGATAAACCAAAATATGTGTGTAAAAATAAAAAAAAAATGTTACCTTGTTTAATAAAGTATCCTCCCGACAAGTATTTCAGTGCGGACCTGTATTTGATCGTGCGGTCTTGGAGCACCGGCATGCTCTCACCTGAGAGGTCTTAAGTCACCTGATTCACGAGCCCTTTGTACTACATTAACAAAGGCACGAGGGGTTGGTTGCACTCGATTGGGAAACCGATTCGCATAAATCCGTGATGCATCCGGCAGCATTTTGTAAAGACTGCCCCCCGTAAATAAGAATCATGTCCACAAGTTCAGCATTTGTGCCATTTTTCATTTCGTTTGAGTCACGCAACAAACATCACTATTCACCCACGCGTTACCGACTGACGAAAAACAACGTGATAAACGTTTCAAATTCTTTCGCTTTTTTGTTTCCGATGCGATGAACCGATATCCGTTGTTGCCAAAAACATAATATTATTATTGAGACAGGGCAGTACTCAAACTTCCAAAGGGCTATAACTTTGTTCCTTTAATTTTACCAGAAAAATGGTAAAGGAAAAAACATTTCTTTTGATCAGATCTACTCACTGTTAAAATAAATGACTCAACTTCGAAGTCACCCTGTAATCTCTATATATATATCTATATATATATTATTTCAATATGACGTTTCGTCTCTTGTCAAGCAAGGGTAAATCATAGCAGATGTTCAAAATGCTGTCCGTTATTTTGTAGGCAAAGCCCGACTCTTCAGAGTACAGGCTGGTCAACCAAGAATGCGAGTAGGTACTGTATGAGGGAACCTATCCATCGTACATTCTTGCGGCAAAACAGTTATTACCAATACGGCCAAGAGAAAAACCTGGAAAATATTTTCAAGTTTCTTAAATGGCCGCTAGGGGGCGTAACCTCGATCATAAATCTACAAGAGTGATGTCTCTGTGAATTCCGCTATATTAACCAAACAAAAAATTTCTTATCCTTAAATTCGAGGATAATAATATAACCTTTTTTGTTTGATAATTTTTGCTGCATCTCTAAAAATAAAGTGGTATTCAAGGGTTTCCATAAACGAATGTATCTTCGAAATGACTGAGCAAACTTTAACATACTTGGTCTAGTTGAAAAG